CCTCCTCCTCCGTCGAGCATGGGCTGGTGGTCGTGCAGGGCAGCCCGTCGCTGTGGGCGAGGTCGTGCTGTGGGCGCCTCCCTGCGCAACTTCAAGGATTGCATCGTCACGCCGCAGGGCTCGTCGGTGCTCTCCAAGTCCTTAAAAAGCAACCCGGCTTGGCCGACGAGATGATCGACCCACAAGGATGTCAGTCCCTCGTCCACTCCCGCGACCTGGTGGACCACAAGGCCAGAGTCTGGCATGATCTGTGGGCGCCCCACCAGGGGGACATGCACCCGGTCGACACCTTCTGGAGCGAGGTGCGCGAGCTGCTCGGCTTCGAGGACCTCCCAGCGGTAGACCTTCCTCAGCTGAGAACCGCCTTGAAGCGCATGCGCCCACGCGCAGGCAGAGGCGTCGACCAGCTACGCCCTACTGATGTCGAGCGGCTGCCCGACTGCGCTCTCGTCGAGCTCTTCGGCAAGTACTCGGAGTGCGAGCAGGCAGGATGCTGGCCATGGCAGCTGCATGGTCACGGGTCAGCTCTTGGCCAATAAGCGTGGCGGTGAGCGCGTGATCGGCCTCCTTTGCATGATCACGCGCATTTGGAGCCAGGCCCGCGAGCCCATCATCCAGGATCAGTTTCTGACCGCGGAGGTTCTCGCGACCCGGGTCCGCTGGCAACTACTGCGGGCCGCCATCGACGCCGCGACGGCCGCTGAGGCCCGCGGTCGCACCCGTCGGCATCGCCGCCGCCCTCAGCTCCGCGCGCGCGCGCGCTGCACGACGACGGGATTAGCTGTGGGGCAGCCGCGCGTCTGCAGGACGCGCCAGTCGAGCAGCGTGGCTAGCCAGCACATGCAAGGGGCTCGTGGCTTGTGTTGACGACTGGGCCCGTCTTGCCTCGGCTGTCGCCTCGTTGCACATCGGCGACCGGCAGGTGCGCGAGTCACGTGCGATGCAGCTGCAGGTATCGCGGGTATCCTTGGACGCGTGGGCTTGTCTGGCATGCGGCTGCTATGCTTGGCCAGGGTTGCGCGCGCACGGGCGGGGCCTGCGCGCCAACTGCCGAGGGGCCGCGCCAGCTGGGCGAGAGCGCCTTGAGCGACTACGTCAAGGACTTTGGCCGAAAGCAGGCGTCACCCTGTGCCCCGACGACTGCGCTACGACGGGCACTTCGCCGAGCGCGACGTCGACGACGATGGCGCCCTGGACGTCTTTCCAGGTGCCGCGCATGAGCGGGGCCAGGCGGGGCCCCTTGGAGCCCGCGCGGCGGGCCGCTGGCAGGTCGTCGCGCCGTCGTGGCGGACGGGATGGTGGCGATGTTCAGGCTGCCCAGCAGGGCCCGGGCGTCAGTTCGCAACGTTTTGGTGCGCCAATGCGGCTACCGGGCTCTGTCGCCACGGGCGTCAGATCGCAAAGTCCTGGCGTGCCATTGCGGCTGCCAAGCTCGACGTCGCCATGTGAGCCCAAGCTCGGCAGCGATCTGGGCGCTGAGGATGATGTGGAGGTCGTGATGCCCGTGGGCCCGTCGAGCGCCGCGAGCCCTCGCCAGGGGCTTGCAGCTGGCGCGAGGCGCGGAGAGCGTGCCGCTACTGGAGGGGTGTCGCGGGGGGCGGCCCCATCGCCGCGACGGGCGGCGCGATGGCCGGGGGGGGGCAGGGGGGGGCAGCTCTGGGGGCGCCCCGAGGCCCCCCCACCCGAGGCAGGCGCAGCCACGCGACCGCTCCATGGGCGTGTGCGAGCAGAAGGACGAGAAGGACGAGTATTTCTACGACGACAGGGTGGCCATCTGTCAGCGCAGGCTTGACAGGGGCGGCGGCGGCTGCGACGCGGGGCCCGACGCCGCGCTCGACGCCGAGCTGGAGGACTTTGAGGCGCGGGGCCTCATCGTGGCTAGCCCCTCGGAGGCTCTCGCGGAGGAGGGCGACGTCGAGCTGGGCGCGGTGGGCGTCGCGAGCTGCGCCACGGCCTTCGCGCGCTGCCCTGGGCGCGCCGTCGAGGAGGGCAGCGGGGTTGCACCTGCGCGCGGGGGCTGAGCCGAAGGTCGATCGGTGTGTGTGTGTGTGTGTGTGTGTGTGCGTGGGGGCATAGTGGGCGCCTCGAAAAGAACTCGCGAAGCCCCCGCCCCACGGCGGCGCTCGCCGAGGCAAGGCCGCCTGTCTGGGCCAGCGGCCGTGGCGCCCTCATCTCCGAGCCGACGGCGCTGATGGCCGAGGGTCGAGGTGCTGCTGGCCAGGCCGCCGCAGGAGCAGCTAGCAGCTAGCGCGACTGGCGTTGGGTTGGGCGCTGCAACGTGGCCAGGGGTGCCCAGCAAGACGGGCCGACGGCTACGGAGGGTGGGTTGGCGATGGCTGCCCTTAATGACGCTGCTCGCCCGAGGAGCGGCGCGCCTCCCCTAGCTACGAGCCCCCCGTTCGCTGCTGAGCCCACTGCGTTGATCAGCGCCCCGCTTGGGATGTGGCCCAGTATCGACGACGCCAGTTCGGCCGCAGGCGCGCCCATATGATGATCTCGCTGATCGCGGCAGTCACCGTGGCGCTCAGAGCGGACCCCGACGTCGAGCCCGACGCCGCGTCCGACGCCGTGTCCGACGCCGTGGCCGACGTCGTGCCCGATGCCGAGATGGAGCAGTTAGGGGACTTCGAGGAGCGGGGCCCCGTCGCGGCGAACCCCGCGGTGCACCTCGCGGAGGACAGCTGTCCGCGGGCGCCCGTGGGCCGCGAGGCTGGCGGCCCCGCGCTGGGCGCCGCGGTCCCCGCGGCGGCCGCCAAGGAGCTCGAGGCGGACTCCGACGCCGAGCCCGACGCAGTGGCCGACGCCATGCCCGACGCCGAGCTGGAGGACTTCAACGCGCTGGGCCGCCTCGCGGCGAGCCCCGGGGTGCGCCTGGCGGAGGGCGGCCGTCCTCGGGCGCCCTCGGGCTGCAGGGTTGGCGGCCCTGCGCAGGGCGCCGCGATCATCGCGCGGCGCCCGCCAGTGCCGCCGCCAGCGCTGCTGCCGCTGCCTCCCTTCGCGGAGCTCGTGCGGCGGGCCGCTGGCGGCCCTCCCCGCCGCCGCGGCGGGCGGGGCGACGCTCGGGCGAGGGGCTGAGCCCCGCGCCCCCCCGTCGGGGGGGCCCTCGCCCTGCGCCGCGCTCTGACGCGCCGCTGCGCCCGCGTCCCGCGGGTGGCCGCGCGCGGATCGCCTCATCGTCCGTGGCGGTGTCCTCATGGCCATCTCATCTCATCGCATCGCATCTCATCCGTCCTCATCTCATCTCACCTCGTCTCATCCCATCACATCTCATCGCATCTCATCTCATCTCGTCTCATCTCATCTCATCTCAACTCATCTCATCTCGCACCATCCCAGCTCATCTCATCTCATCTCATCTCATATCATCCCATCCCATTCCATCTCATCTCATCTCATCTTGTCTCATCTCATCTAGTCTCATCTCATGCCATCTCATATCATCGTATCCCATGTCATATCATGTCATCTCATCTCATCTCATTTCATATCGCCTCATCTCATCTCATCTCGATTCATCTCATTTAATGCCATGTCATGTAATCTCGTCGCATCTCATCTCGTCGCATTTCATCCCGTCTCATCTCATCTCATCTCATATTATATAATCTCATCTCATCTCGTCTCATCTCATGGCATCTCATCGCACCTCATCTCGTCTTATCTGATCTCATATCATACCATCTCAACTCCTCTCATCTCGCCTCATCTCATCTCATCTCATCTGATCCCATATCATTCCATATCACCTCATCCCGCGCCATCTCATTTGATTTAATCTCATCTCATCCCATCTCATCTCATCTCGTCTCATCTCATATCATCTCATTTCATTTCATCTCATCTCATCTTATTCTTATATCATCTCATCATACACCATCTCATCTCACCTCACCTCATATCATCTCATCCCATCTCATCTCGTCGCATTTCATCCCATCTCATCTCATCTCATCTCATCTCATCTCATCTCACCTCACCTCACCTCACCTCGCTTCACCTCACCTCGCCTCACCTCACCTCGCCTCGCCTCGCCTCATCTCATCTCATCTCATCTCATCCCATCCCATCTCACCCCATCCCAGTCTATCTCATCTCATCTCATCTCATCTCATCTCATCTCATCTCATTTCATTTCACCTCATCCCATATCATCTCATCACCTCACCTCGTCCTCATCCTCATCCACAATTACTCAATATGAAAATACTTTCCCTCTTCCCCTGATGGCGTCCGGGTGATGGCCGCGCACCCTCCGCGTACTGTTTTTTTACACACAGGATGCCCGGGAAATCCCGGGAAACGACTCTCGCTGAGGCGCCGGCGTCATTTTTTCCCAAAATGCTGCTCTCGTTGAGGCGCCGGCCTCATTTCTGCTCCCGAATCGTTCCGAATCGTGCTCCCGCTGCAGCGTGGGCCTCATTTTCGGATCGGTGTTTGGCCTCCGTCGTTCAGGATGGCGTTCTTTTTTCTCGCGCGCCCATCCGCCCGCCACCACCGCGCCGCACCGCACCACCACCACCACCACCACCACCACCACCACCACCACCACCACCACCACCACCACCACCACCACCACCACCACCACCACCACCACCACCACCACCACCACCCACCACCACCACCACCACCACCACCACCACCACCACCACCACCACCACCACCCACCACCACCACCACCACCACCACCACCACGACAACACGCACACACGCACGCACGCACGCACGTGCACCACCACCCACTACGCACGCGCGCGCGGAGCCACAGGTCCGCTACGACACGCGTCCGCGGATAGAGAAAATCAGCGCCATGGCAAGGGATGGGTGGGAGGGGTAGGACGTCAGATATGACGCGAGCGCACCTAGCTTGTCCCCCTCCCCTTCCCCCTCCTCCTCCTCCTCCTCCTCCTCGTCCTCCTCCTCCTCCTTCCCCTTCTCCTCCTCCTCCTTCTCCTCCCTTCTCCTCTTCCTCCTTGTACTCCTCCTCTCCTCGCGCCTGGCAGACATGGTGCTGCAGCCACGACGGGGTGGCTTGCACGAGCCCCACCACGACGACGACCGCTGAGTACGACTGCCTGGCAGGTGCCCGCTGCCCGCGCCGCGCGCCCGGACTGTTGGGGGGAGAGCAGGTTCGGTGGGGGTGGGGGGGTAGGTGGGGGGGGGCGTACGGCCTCGGGTCGGGGGGCGTGGGGCCCGTCGTGAGGGACGTCGCGGGGGCAATCGCGGGGGTCGTCGTGGGGGTCGCGGGAGGGGCGGGGACAAGCGTGCGCGGTGGTGGGTCGTGAGGGCCGTCAAAGTGGTGGGTCGTGGGGGATGTCGTGGTGGTGGGTCGGGGGGGGCTCTCGGGGGTAGCTTCGGCTGTCCCTATGGCCGCTTCCCCCATCATCCTCCGCCTCGGGATCCAGGCCCAACCAGGCCATCCTCGTGCTCCTCTCCGTGGGTCAGGTCGCAGTCTTTGACGTTGACTTCCTGGAGCACTCTGCCCCATGCCCCTCGTCGTGTTGTTGATGGGCCGGGGCTTCGTCTCCGTCGTTTTGCTGGTCTTGCATTCGATTCGCGATTTGCCCCTTTTTGGGTTTTCGAGAGCGTGCTGGGGCCTTATGTTTTGCGGGCCTGCGCCCCCCAGGTCTGGTTCATGGTCGCTTTTCCGAAAGCGTTTTTCCTAAAACGTGGGGTTCTGTCCACCCACGAGGGGGGCATCGAGGATGGCGGAACATCCATGAACGACAGGCGAGGCGGGAGGAGGGGGGAGGGCTGAGGATCGAGGTGTCCTGCCGTTCCTGGCCTTTTTTTTCCCCGCGGGGGGCTTCAGAGGCCTCCTGGGGCTCTCCAGAGGAGGGGAGAGGTTGGCGATACTGGCGACGGGCCCACGTAGCATGCAGGGTACGAGAGGGGGGAGGAGGGAGCAGGTCAGGCGACGACGGCGACAGAGGGCGTCGAGCCGACATCGGCCGTTGAGCGGGAAGACGAGTGGGGGCATCATCCCTTACACTTTCTTTTCGTATCATGTCTTCACGCCTTCCCAAACGTGCGATGGGCAACCAGTTTACGTGCAGCTGACTGGGGCCGCCCTGGGAAAGTTCCAGGGCGCCCCCACCAGCGGAACGCGAGGAAATGGGTGGCGGGAAAAACTGCAACAATGCGACTCGCGTTCCTTCGCGAGAAGCGATGCTCTCTCGCATCTGCTGCCTTTGCGGGCCCAGCTGGCGCCCGCACGTAGCGTTAAGTCGGGCGTGTCCCTCTACAGGAGGAGTATTCGAAAAGAGTCAGGGTATAGTCAGGGCATTTGTGAGCTTTTTTGGGGTGTTTAATGGCTTCGCTCATTCCGCCGGCCCATATTGCCTCGCCGCTGTCGTTTGTCGGGGTGTTGTTGTCAATGTGGTGCGGTTGGGCGGCTGCCATTTTTCGGAGGCGGTGGGTGGCGGGTAAGAGGCCTCACGGATGTTGGTTGGGCTCTCGTGGTTGGCCTCTCAGGGGCCTCATGGGAGGCAGTCATGCATGAGGCTTCTTGGGGGCCGTGTTGGGGCCGTGTTGGGGCCTCTTGGGGGCCTCTTGGGGTCCTCATGGGGCTTCTTGGGGTGCCTCTTGGGGGCCCCTCACCTTCTTGGGCCCCTCGTGGGGCCGTTTTGCGCCTGTTTGAGCATTTTCTTCCGGGCATTCTGTTGAAATTCGGTCGTCCAGGAATTCCCCTGCATGGGGGACAGGCCAGACCTAAAAGCGTAGCGACCGCAGGTTCCACCAGGCCCCCCCTGGGGCCTGCAACGCCGGACGGACGGACGGACGGACGGACGGACGGACGACGGGCAGTCGACGTGCAGGCGGGCGGGCACGGGCCGACGCACAGGCACGGCAGGCCGCGCCCAGGCCGGGCCAGGGGCCAGGCGCGAGAGCAGTGCCCCGCCAGGGTCCGCAGCAGGAGGCCACCAGGCCAGGAGCGCAGGAAGGACGTGCACGTGCGTGGATCCACGCAGGTTTCGGGAGCGCAGGAAGGACGTGCACGGCCATGGATCCACGCCGGTTTCGGGAGTGCGCGTTGCGCAGATGTTCGTCTCACGGGGCCAGTCTCGCGGATCCAGGGGCCGTGTTCATGCACATGGCTGGGCGCGTACGTCCCTTGTGGGCTTCCCTGACCAGCGATGATCATCATGTCCTGCAGCGGGGAGGCAAGGAGGCCAGAAGGCACAGAGGGTGAAATAGACAGTCCTACTCCTCAGATTTCACTGCCCCCAAATCACTCGCGCCTCGAGCTCTAGGGGCGACTAGACTTCATCGTCGTATCTTTTCTCCACGCGTTCCCACACGTGCGATGGCCAACCAGTCCACGTGCAGCTGACTGGGGCCACCTTGGGAAAGTTCCAAGGCGCCCAATGCACTCATGTGGACCCGGACATCTGCGCGAAACGATTTACTACTGGTTGCCGAATTGCCCCCCATGCAAACAGTGCACTTTTACATTCGGCAGCGTGCGATGGGTCCGAACGGTCAATCAAGAATTCTGCTGCG